ATACAAGTCGACCCCCCTATAACACTGTTGATTATTCCGTTTTATATGAATTCCATGTTGTACGAGTCACTTAGATTTTACAAATACGTGAGCCATTCACAGCCCGGTACACGTATTTGTAAAATCTAAGTGACTCGTACAACATGGAATTCATATAAAACGGAATAATCAATGATCTTATAGGGGGTCGACTGTATATATATATATATATTTATTTATTTATGTTAAGCTTAAATATATACATATAGCCTATATAAGCTTTTGTAATTCTAAGTAACAATTTGAATAAAATTCATTTGTCAGCACGCAATTTTATTTTTATAAGCATAAAATTATGCCGTAAAACGAAATAAGCTTTATGGGTAAACCCCTGTGAATTTTAACCTATCGACCAGTAAGTTTCGCCATCATCTCATTGGAAACGAAAAAGGCTTAATTTTAAAATTTGATTTTTGTAGACGGAGTAGTTTTTTCTATACGAGTGTCCTCAGTGCCAGATGAAGAAAAAGAAGAATATGAATTTAAGGAACTGCTTTATAGGAAGTCTTGCAAGTTTGCACATTACCTAAGAAAACAATTTTCTTTGAAACGAGGTATTCGGATTACGTCAGGTGTTCGGAAGCGGATAAATCGACCTTCTTATATCGACAACTCTGATTCCTGCATACGTACTCAGTCATTAACTTTTTTACTTGGCGAAGATCCATCGCCGTGACTCCTGGCATGCCTGCAGTAAAACTTTTCTAATAAGTAGACATTTACAGCTTTTCCAATGGTATACAGTTTTAAACATATTCATATTAGAAAATCAATTGTAAGCACACAACACTTTAAAATCTAAAATTTACATGTTATTTACTGTACATGAATTTGTTACAAATTACTGTAAAGACATATTGCATATAGATTTAACCTATGTTTAAAATATTGGTATTTTTAACAATTGTATCAAACACAAACTATTTTGTATTTGTTTTCAGAATGAAAGTTTGCAACTTAATAAACCAGTGTGAGTGTTTTCGTTGACTGCAAGTTACAATTAAATTTAAGTATAATATAAATCAGAATCTACTCGACAGTACCCTTTGAAAAAAGTCTTGGGGTATTTGAAATGCTTGGATTCGTTTCGGTATTCGAAATCCGTAAGCTAATAATTTTGAATTGTTATCAAATATGAAACATTCCAAAGGCATGTTTCATACTTGATGATGGTAATTAACTCTACTATTGTATTTGAAATATTAGTATTAATAGTTTTAAACTGACTTCTATTTAAAACCTGGATAAATTAAATCGAAAATAGATATACATTCGATTTATCCTGTAATGTAAAATTATCATGTAATTAATTTTTTTTATAAACAAAATACACTTTTTATTCCTGTATACATGATATAAAATTATCAACAACCCCGGGTCCCACATCAAATCCTTATCCTTATCGTAAAGGCGTACTTCCGGGAACTCAATTTCTGTACAAAATTCCGTCTTTGAACTCCTAAACGGCAGAATCCAGAATAATCCTAAAATGGAAATATTATAATTTTTGATCCATTTCATTGTCTCCGATAAGTTTTGTTTAATAATAAAGGTTAAAACAATTGTTGGAATGATCATATTTAATGAACATCCACTTGGCCAGTGGTAACCAGAATCATCTGAGATTATTGATTAGGAGAATAAAATGACTTTGTTATTGCATATCTACCAAACAACGTACACAATTTTACGTTTGCATTGTACATGAATAAAACTATTTGGTTTGATGAGAAAATTGGACCGTATTTAGTTGTTACTAACAAGAAGAAAATCCGGTAAACTCCAAGTATGCAGCACGTTGCCGAGGCGCGAACTCACGACCAGAGTTCAGTGGTTTTATACACTCGGCCACTGATGGGCGAATGAAAGTATTTTAACACATTGTAAGTGGTTGGTCAGGAATGAAATTAGTAAGTACGATGATTAATTATTTACGAATATTTATTTTACTCTTGAGTACAGATTTTCAGAATTTAAATACAAGGACTTTTACATTGAATTATCTCACAGAAGGTTCAACTGTAAATAGCACGTATACAAGTTAACTCATTCGCTTCACTGAAAATTTATAAGTATCCTACAATATAATAGAATTATAATTTAATTTAGAATATATTAACTTACGGGAATATTTATTTTATAACTGTCACAAATTCGTTGTGCAAGTTTAAAGATGCCATTAAGTGCGCATTGCATCGTATTTTTCGCAACAAATTCGTAATTTTTCGAATGTCGTATCGTCATGGCGTTTACATAAAACACTAAGTTTCACATCTCTGAATGTTTTCGGCATCATCCAGTTAGTTTGCTCTTCTTTCCAAGTAGCATCCATGTTATATTTAGAAAAGAAGTAGACACGACTAACTGGATTATCTTCACCCTTGCCCCAATCGATCGAAATTATCTAAAACACAGAAAATAATGTTTAATACATAATTATTGTCAAAAGTTTTCATTATTTAAACTGTAAATATTGGTAAAACAAAAAACGTTGGGAATTCCAGGAATGCAACGTACAACGATATTGTAATTGAAATACCTGTATTTAATGATGTTTAAAGAACAACTTAGTAGTCGAANATCCTTATCGTAAAGGCGTACTTCCGGGAACTCAATTTCTGTACAAAATTCCGTCTTTGAACTCCTAAACGGCAGAATCCAGAATAATCCTAAAAAATAATAACTTGCACCTAAAAAATAAAAACCGCATTGAACTCTTCATTGCTAAAATTTTTGTGTCATGTGAATGTCTTGTAGAAATAAAGCTTGTTGCTTACAGCATCATAAATGCAATAGTGGAGAATTTTGCTATTAATTTAATTTTTTTTTTTTTTTTGGAAATGTCTTTTATATCTTGAAATGTCATTGTGCCAGATTTGGTTGCATTCTAGTGAAAAATCTTTCTAGACAGCGTTGAATAAAAATATTGATACACAGTAAGCGAAAAAGTTCAGAAAAATTATAATACTAAACAGGAGTACTCTGTAAGTCTAGATCCACGGGAATTATAGCGATCGATCTTCATTCTTTTACAAGGAAATAATTGTGCTGAGTAAGGAGAGTCGAACTCAAGTTATTTTGATGTTGTGTACTCGCAGTCAATATGATGTCGTGGAAAAGTACCAGTTTACATCCACACTTTCAATCACACACAACAATCTTAACGCTGCCTGTTAAACTCTTCGGCGACTTTACGCTGATTGTATGAAGATCGCCACCATCAAAATAACTTAAATTCGTTTCTACATATTTAGCGCCGTGTTTTACTGTAAAAGCGTACGCAAATATCAACATAACGTCTATAGTTTTACACTTAATACCTTGTCCAGTATATTACTAAAGTATGTAAAATGGATATCATTAACTGTATTTTTTGAATTTAGTTTGTCATTATACAATGTTTCACTTAAGCATCTGTCCAGAGCAAAAACAATTCTTTTTAGTATTTGTTACGTTAGGTTGTTGACTGCAAATTACACATACATACGGGATGTTACGTTGTCATTACATGCACCCACTTCTCTGATATCTGTAAACATACCGCACAGCGATTTGAGTAGAGGTTCATTACGACGTTGATTACTCTAAATATTATTTTGTGGGTCAGCTAAAAAAATTGTTACATGCCTAGCCATCATGATTCTTATGCATCCGGTCGCCATCAAGGTTACTGTTGATGGCGACCGGATGCATAAGAAAGACTTATGATACAGCGATACCAGAAATGTCGTGTTTGATTTTTAACGATGTTNTTATTTTGTGGGTCAGCTAAAAAAATTGTTACATGCCTAGCCATCATGATTCTTATGCATCCGGTCGCCATCAAGGTTACTGTTGATGGCGACCGGATGCATAAGAAAGACTTATGATACAGCGATACCAGAAATGTCGTGTTTGATTTTTAACGATGTTCAAGTGACGGCCTGAATATACATAAAAAATAATACAAATTTCATATTTTCGTATATATTACAGTGTAATTTTAATTGCATATTTTTTAACAGTAGTATTATTTACCTGAATCTTAAAATCTTCTTCGCGTAATTCAAAATCAGTTCCATATTTTTTATAAAAGTCTCTTTTTTCATCCGGAGATAATTCTTGCGCACATTTCATAATTGCTGCTTTTATAGTTTTCTGAAATGAAAAAAAACGTGTACATGAAATATGTGTGTGACTATTAAAGTGTTCTCGTATTAGTTTATTTTTGTACTGAAAGGCATTAAATGAAGTTATAGTTTTCCACTTTCTTCAGATTTTTTAACTTTTTCTTCTCAGTGAGCACTTACAGGGTCTATCTATTTATACCAATTTTCGATTGAGTGGTTATGGATGAAAATAAACGTATTCAGGACTAATTACCTACGAAAATCTCAAGAAGAATTGCTTGCCCAAATTTTATCTTAGATCCCCACAACACTTTGATCGCCTTGGCCATTCAAGCGGCACTTGTCATGATTATTGATAATCACAACATGTGCCTCTTAGATCAGAGTGATGGGATACGGTATGACAGTACGAGGATAATCTACCGAGGGTGGATATGCCTCCCTAGAGGTTATTTTCTGAAAAAATTATCCCTATTTAGGCGTTAGATACGAGAAGAAAACCCCGAAAACTATATGAACTATAGTAATTTTTTAAAATACCTTATCGGGCTTTTCAGCAACGGACCAATGAGAAACCGTCTGATATATTTTAGAATTTTGAAAGCGTCTCTCTACTATATCCAGTATATTTCGAACTTTCTCTATTTTTGAGTATTTCAGAGAATCGTAAACAGCGTTGTCAGTCATCATGCAGAAGTTTCTCATTGTCAATTCAATAACTTCTTCCTCTCTGTTCACTGCATTAGTCCAATTGTAGAACTGAAAATTTTCACTACAGTGGAAATAAATTAAGAATATAGAATAATTATTATTTCAAAACACAAAGAAATAAAACCAGCTTACCCGTTAGGCGCTAAAACTTTTCCATCCGCTTCCAATAAAGCATCGAAAATACTGAAATATTATAAAATGGCTGTGTTATTTCGGTTATTCTACACAATTTATCAATATTAGAAAAAGCATACATTCTTTCTATTCTTCTGTTCATGCGATGTTGGTAAGCAGCGTGATGCAATTCACTTCTTGTTAGAAAATTCTTGTAAACAGTACTTACAACCTTTAAGAAAATGCATGTTACGATATTTTCTTATTAAAATCTTTTTATATTTATAATTATTATAAAACGTTTAATTTTAAAGGTAGGGTTAAGTTTTATAGAAAAAAAAATGTAAATTCTAATAAGGAGTTAAAGCCTACTCGAGATAGGATATACGACGCCCTTTATCTCTCCATCTTCTCGATCTTTAACCATGAAAATTTAAGAGCATCAACCCTCCTTATACACAAATATACCTTTAAAATTTCGACAAAAAGCACGAGAGTTATTATTATTTTTAAGAATTTCCACCTTATGGGCCTCTTAAAGCAAACCCATTATGGGTTCGGCCAGGACCACAAGGGGCGACCCGGTGGTGAGGGATGGGGCCCGACATGTCCGAACGGATCACCCACCGAAAAGTTCCTGTGGATTCTTTGACCCGTCCGGATTCAATCCTGGGTCTCCCAGAGCGGAAGGCTGCCTCCTTGACCGCTCGGCTATCCGGCCGTCGCACCAAGAGTTATTAAACTTCAAATAGTGTGAACAAAATCGTGCTCCAACACACACTAACATCCATACATAGAGTCAAAAACTCCGAATGTTTTTGTATTTCTTAAAGTTTCAATGTCTCCTCAGTCCAAAAAAGTAGAAATCTTGGTGGAGTACATCTTTTCAATAGATCGCCATGCTTTCCCTCTGTTATATATATATAACGGCTGTTATATATAACAATATATAGCAGCCGTGAAAGTAAAAATAAATATTCACGTTTATTTGTTTTTCTCTTTTTACTTAGGTTACTTCGATCCTCCGTGGATTGTGTTTAAGAGACTGCAACTGCCCGTGGATCTTTACATGGGCAGTGTCTGTCTTTGCCTCTCATCTTTCACTACTGGCACTAGACTTTACATGCCTCAGTGACTTTACACGCCTCAGAATTCCTTCACCCAACCAGTAATTTTCTTTACTTTTTAAAACATTAATTAAATAATAAATTTCTTACTTTGTCACGGAAACATATAACCTTTTTACCATCGACATCATTTACTCTTGCAAATTGCATGAGGCGTTTGTATTCGAATCCGCATTTGATTCCGAGATACAGGCAGTCGCGGAGATAATAATCCCATTTATCGACGTCTAATCCCGATTCTTCGTTATTCACGATCTATAAATTATATATATGTAAATTATTAATGTTTAAGTCATTCGAAATAATACTATTTCTGTCTGTTGTACAATAAATATCATTAGTAGAACAAAATAACTTTGCTAATTTGATACCGCGATGGATTATATCTTATTAACACAAAATATCATCATAAATAATTTATGAAATGTTAGAAGCCATTAAATATATTATACCATAAACTACATTTACAGTGAACGGTCCATTAACAAACAGTCCCGAATAGCGGACATCTTTACTTAACAGGCATTATTACAACCTGAAAACACTATAAATAGGACATGTATTATGTTTACCACTAAATAGTAGATAATATTCTCGGTTTTCGACGGTGTCTGCTATTCGAAAGGTATACTGTATTTATTAAAGTCAGTAATTAATCTATAAATAAACAAACAGATTCTTACTTGAAAGAGGAATGTCCGCTCATCGCAAGTCTGTAAATAAAATATTAATTATGTAAATAGGGTATATTTTACAAAATCAGATGCAATAGAAAATAAATTCGCTTACAGGTTTTCCTTTCATAAGATCTCTGATGAAATTGATTTTCGTTTTGTCTATATTATATCTTTGAAATTCCTCTTCCAATTTATATTTTCGTACAAGATAATCAAATATTTTAATGGATACTTCTTCGTGCTGCGATTAAAATGGATATAAATTCACAATTCACTTAGAAATTGCTTGATATTTAACGTGTTAACTTACATTCCACGGTTTGCTTTCGTCTTTACGTTTTTTTCTGCACTTCCTCATAAATCTTTCCCACGAATGAGAAAATGGACCGTGACCGAGATCGTGGCAAAGTCCCGCAATCTGTACGCAATTTATTTCTTGGTCCGTTATATTTAATTCCGGTTGGTTGTTTCTTAATTCCAGAAGAAACTTCTTCGACAAATAAGCAACTCTAGAATTACACATAAATAATTAGGATACAAAATAATGCCGGCCCACCAATGGGCACCAATATTTTCTGTTTTCTGTGGTTTCTCGAATATTAAAATGTTCATACCCTAAAGAGTGTTCGAAGCGATTATTGTTAGCTCCTGGATAAACAGTGTAGAGAAATCCCAACTGCTTGATGAAGCGAAGTCTTTGAAATTCTGGCGTGTCTATGATTTTCAGACATAAAGCATTGAAACTGATTTGTCCGTGAACAGGATCGCAAAATATCTAAAAAAATAACAATAGTTTAATACAATAAATTTTATGTTATAACTCCTATCTTATTATCAATCAAATGATTACCTTTTGAGTATTTCCATTATCCTCGCAAATGTTATTGTTAATATCTTTAAAATGTAAATAACAAAATTAGGATTATGCCGTTAGTTAAATCGGAAGATTAAACAGGGATACTTGTAGATTTTTAATATTAATTGTTATTAATTAATATTAATTCATATTATTATTGATTTAACATGACTATTAACCACAGAGAAACTCGACAACCTGTGAAAAAGTGGATGAAACCATTAAACGAGTCGGGAGTTCTCACCCCCGACTCGTTTCACGTGGTATTCATTAGTTTTATTCAGTAAGCCACTGGTGGACACGTAAACTAATTAAGTGTAACACTTATCGTTAATAAGTATTGTTGGGCTGCTTGTTTGTTTGTTTAGTTAAGTTACGGCAACACAACACTTCGGCGATGACTCTACTGTTGGAAGTAAACGTATGATGCACAGGGGCAAGTCGATACTAAAATCGAGAAGAGCATATACTTTAAATTTAAATTACGAAATTTCATTTTCGTTTGATTGTTTGTTTCTCGCTGTATTATGTTATTATCAATTTTCATCTAACAAAACCAAAACAGAAACTAAATTACAGTAATTATCTTATCAGCAAGTAAAAGTCTGTACTGATATATATTGATAATAATTTGATGATTTTAACAATTTGGATAGAATTTTACTGATAATAATTTGATGATTTAACGATTTCGATTATAATTTCTAACAAATAATAAAAGTAATTTTTAGTATAACTTATTTAAATTACGTAATTTTTATACAGGTATCTTCTGTGTATTCCGGTAGATGCCTTCCGAAAAAGTGCCGTGTTATGCGAATTCGTGATATACGAAACTATGGACTAATGTAGAACATAGAGTTAAGTTCCAGATGTTAGCAAAATTGCGTAATTGTTGTACAGGTATCCTTTGTGTAACCCGGTAGATACCATTGGAAAAAGTCTTATTTCTAACACAACTATAACTATGGTCATATCCATAACAGAGTTTAGCCGAATATCGTAATTAAACTAAAGAATGAAATCTTTACAAATGCAGCTATGCCCTGAGCACACCCCTATAAATCCTCACCGGTTGAGTAAAGGTCTATACGTGTCACTCTTTAGGCATACATACAGAGAAACCACTTGTGAAATTTACTCAGATTCTTAATTGACGAAATAGAACCCTCCAGAATGGTAGGATTTACCTTCTCGACTATCCGGCTATCAGAATGAAAGTCTAGCAAAATTTATATTATAAATAATACGATTGAAATTTTGGTGTTCTTTGATACTTTATAGAAATAAGAATATAAAATTAAAGCAAAAGACTTACGGTTTCCGATAAACGGCATTCCTTCTGAAATTTAAAATTTGACTGCCTGAAATTAAGAATTAAATGATTAATTATTATTATTATAACGCTAAAAATGACTTATAAATAATTTTTTAATATAAATTTCTATAGGAAAATGAATAACGTTAATAAACCATATACGTAGAAAATGAAGAAGAGAAATTTCTGTAACAGTCATTAAAGTTTCCCTTTCATTTAATGTCTGCTGTAAACAATTTATAATAGCGATAAATTTATCTTCACTTTTGTTATCTTCTTATCAAATGATCTCATTTGTTTTTTACATTATTGTGTTAATTAAGGTACAAAGCAGGTGACAAACATAACGGTTTTCAAAGTAACACTTCAGAAACTAAAATTAATAATTATATTACCCAATAGTTAAGACCATAGAATTATGAGATCTGAATTGCCCCTGTGACTAAGTTATAATTTAATTATAAAGTTAAAATTTTAGGGGAAAAATATTCTTTAATTTTGGTAAGAAATTAGGTTTTTCTAACGCTGAAAAACTGATAAAAAGTCACTTCCTGCAACGGAAGTTGAAACATCCTTTTGTTTTATCCTTATCTACTACAAATGTCAGCACCCTGTGAATTGTTAACCTTTTCGATACATCCCCTTTTCCTCTGTTCACGTGAGAGAATCCAAAAGGCTGATTGGAGAACAATCGTGAGAAATAGAAATGATTTTGCACGATTCAAGGAGTCCGCCACGAAATCTGAAAGAAGGAACACGTATTTTATACAATCTCCTGAAGGCCAACGCCCATAGTCGTAACCCGCAGATTTTAAAAATGAGTTCAAGTTAGTAAGATAAGAAAAATTTTTGTGATGTGCCACTCAAGACCTTCCCACGAACTGAAGTGTAAGAACTGAATGAATTGAAGTATAAAGAAATTAAAGGTGAAGAAATAGAGAAATCATCTAGAGGTAGTATGATTATAGTAGAAAAGTGTAAGCTCTCGAAACGTTTAGATTAATTATTCCATTGTGTATTCGGATTGTACCCCCGGCTAGTCTCACAAAATTATGTAACATTTATGTAAACACCCAACCCCATATAAGGCTTAACCAAATCTAAAATAGGCAAGAAAAAAGCCCTGTTATTGCCCAAAGGGAGGAAGGAGACAAAACATGAAAATAAATGACTATAGTATATATATTTTATAAATTTTAAAACTACATTGTAAGTAAATACATCATACTGTAAACAGGTATAGTCTATACGTATTTTTCTATAATAAAGTTGATGATATGACGTAATTTTTTATGCATTTCTTGTGTAAATTTGAAACGTCTGGAGAAAACCAACAGCAAACTTTACTTACTATAAAGCGTACAAAAATAACTCGCAACAGTTATTTTTAACTGTATTCGTTTTAAAAACGAATATCAACTCGTTCACTTCTTGCCAAGACAACAAAATTGATTTTACTTCATTAAATTTTACGTAAATTTAAAAACATTTCACAGAAGTGAAAAACAGAATTAAGTCGATCTTATATATTTACAGTTTAAAAGTACAAACAGTTGTATTTTTTTGAATATTTTAAAATTTATACTTACAATATTCGTTAATGTCGATGAAAGTGTTTACGGAAACATAACTGTGTCCTACTACGTTTGTTTTTTTTAATAGTTCAGAGATAAGAAATTGTGTCAAGTACACCAAGTATACTGTTACAAAGCCGCAATTCTCTATGCTATAAGAGAATCTGACGCTGTTTATCACGTGTATTTTATTAATAAATGTGCATAAATTGATCATAAACAACTCCAATTTTACTATAATAACCTTAAATTGTAGTAAAACAATTTATTTTGAGTAAATATGAACTTACCTCGAAACGTTTTCGCTCATCAAAAATGTGAAAAATTCAATAACTTACGGGAACAATTATAAAACGTTTTCGTTTTTTAGTTGTTCTTGCTCTAGACTGAGAATTATTGCTAACTCTCACTCATATTGAGGTTAATGTTCTATTTTTAGTTCGTGTGTTCATTCAATGCTTTTAAATATATCACAGGCTTACATACTGGGCAGTTTGAAGCACCCAAAGTATTGAACACTTGCTGAGTTTATACGAATCAGCAAGCCCTACTGATGGGTTTCCATGAGCTTTTAGTGCTCATCAAAGGAAAAATTTAATCACACCAATTGGTTATATTAAAAACGGAGGATTTACAGTCTAAGAAATTGGAAATTGTGTCAACAGAAGAATACGAACTGCTACCTAAAGATCCTATGGAAGAAATTTAAAAGAGAGACTTACCTAACTAATGAAGATATACAAAAGAAAATTTACAAATCAACAACTAAAAATATTTTAAACTTCGATAACGTAAGAATACGTAAATTAACGTATTTGTAAAATCTAAGTGACTCGTACAACATGGAATTCATATAAAACAGAATTATCAACAGTGTTATAGGGGGATCGACTATATAGGACTAAAAACACACAAACCAAGAAATATATCTCTAATTGATTTCAGAAATTCAATCTTGTATAATTTAGAAAAGTACCTTAAAAAATTATTTTCGGGAAATAACTAAATCCAATTATAACATAAAGGTTACAGATCAATTAATTAATGGATTATTGAAAGGCCAAATCAAGCAATCATTTAGAATAATGAATTAGTCTTGATATGAAATGTAAGTACTCTTCTATTACTTTGAAAATGATTAAAAAGAATATAAGTATATATAAACCACCAGAATATATAATAAGCCTTATTGATTTTACTTTTAAAAATAATTATTTTAAAATGTCTACAGGTTTATACAGAAAAATAGGAATTGCAATCGATCAGTTATAAAACCAAAATTAACAGACTGTAAAAATATCCCATTTTACAGGTATTTACTGTTATGCAAGATATGTTGGTAACATTTTAATAATTTATGATTCACAAGTAACAACAGCTAGAGAAATAATAGAAGAAGCACACAAATTAAATGAAAATTTAAAATTTACGTATGAAAGAAGAACTTAACCAGGAGATGTTACTATTAAAAGAGAAGAAACAAAACTATATTTTCGTAAGTACGAAAAACAATGTAATAATAGAAAAAACATTAATTTTTTATTTTTATTTAATTTCAGAAAAATACTGATCCGTAAATTATTGGAGCGAAAACAAGTTGTATGTGTGTAAACCCAGTTTGAGAAGAATCAGTATAAAACTATACACTATGGCAATCAAATGACTGAAATATCTTTGTAAAGTGCACAGAGCAATAAATTTGATCTAGAAAATATATTAATCTATTAATTTTTACTCCTTACACATCCTGAATAATTTAAAATAAAATCAATACAGTAATTTATCTCTATTCTAAAATAAATCCAAGTAAATTTCTAAAAGCTGATCATCATCATCAATATATATCTATATCTATATATATATATATAAATGGACGTGTATGTCCCTATATTTCACTTTTTCGCCAAAACTACACATCTCACGTGAATGGTGTTTGTATGTGGTAGTAGCCCCAAGTCTCCATTCGTGCGTAGGGGTGGTTGCGTCTCGATAGCTATAAGGGTGCGGGAGATATGAGGCTAAAAGTAGTTGAAAGTGGCTTTCTATTTCGAATGTTTTGTTCGAATTTGTTCGAATTAAATTCGAACATAAAATTCGAATATGTTCGATTATAGAACGATTGAAAACGTTCCAGAAACGTTGAAATTTGTTCGTTTGACTAAACGTAAAAATTCTCTAATTAGTCTGGAAACGGGAGACCTAATTCTTGCATTCTGTGAAAACGGGTAAGATT